TGTTATCTTTGGGTTAATGGATTTATTTAATGGATTTATAATAATGGATTAATATTTTTAATGGATTAATGGATTTATGGGTCAATAATGGATTTAATAATGAATTAATGGATTTATATGGATTAATGAAATTTAAAATAGTTTGATAATTATATTTTCATAAAACTTGCCTCATTGTAATTATACTTGCTTTAATTTTTGGATTTGAAGTGATTATTCTGAGATGGTTAGCCATGGGCACTATTGGACTGCTAAAGGTATCTACAGCACAAAAATAAGAACTACTGCTTTAAATGACCATTCTTTCACATATCATTTGTCTAAGTCAAGATATCTTTATGGATAGTTATATTGTTGGTCATTTTACACCTATCATATTATTTATAAGAATGTGTATACTATCTTGTATTTTATTCAACTATAAATAGTAGTCTTGGTTCTAGTAGAAACAAGAACTGTTGACTCCTAATCAGTATTACGAGTCTCCATGTCCTATTACATAACATAGTACACATAACATCAGGGATTCAGAACTGCCTGGCAGCCAAACATAAGTTACAGCTCTATTGTGAATGTGTTAATATATGAATGTAAAGGGCATACATAGTGCTTTTATAATAGTTTTATTATGTTGTAAAAATGCTTAAGCTTAGCACATAGCCTTCACACAGTGTGGAAAACTGTGTACAAGAAGTAAAAGTCACCTAAAAAATCATCTTCAACCTCTCTCAACATTTTAAGTATTTCTACAAATTTCCCTTATCTGTGTACAAACACACAAGTACAGATTTACATGAGGGAATCTTACTATTGTTCTTCACTATAATTTTTTTTACAATGGTGCATAACAAATACTTTTCCATATCAACAAAATAGATCTATACCATTACTTGTATTTAGTTACTACAACACTATCTGCATGTACTGTAACTGAGAAATCTGTTGATGAATATTGACTTCTCTTTTAAGCAATACTATATTTCATATTATACTTGACATGTTTCTATGAAAATAATTGTACACTGTGCAATTATTTCTTTGTATTAAATGAGATTGTACATTTTACACTGGAAAGTATTTACTGTTTGTGAAATTTGTTATGTATATTGAGAATTTTTGCTTTCCCATAGCACTATTGGCACACAAAATTTTCAGTCTTTTACCATTATCAATGTGAAAAACAAAAGGTATTATTAGTTATTTGCATTGTTTAATTATTTTGTATACCTTTTGTTTTAAATTCATTTTTAAAAAAATTATATCCATAGAGGTGTTTGTTTCTTATTGAGTTTTAAATTTAAATAATATGCATTATTTTACCATTTATAAATCATATAAATAATTTTACAGTGTGTATTGTAATTTTAAGTTATGGTATTTTCATATAGTTAAAAGTATTAGTTATGAATGTACTTGTGATTCTTCCTGTAATGTTCTACTCAGAAAGACTAGTCTTATTTCAAGATTGTATTGCTCATAATTTAGCCTGTACTTTTCTTACATTAAATCTTTAATTTATCTTGAATTACTTTTGTTGTACACAGTTGAGGAAAAGATTAAGGTTTGTATCCAGCTAGTACAATATTTTTATTTCAGTAATCCACCTTTTCTCTTATTAACATATGGCATTTATCATATTAGATTGTAAGTTTTTGGTTCTTTTTTATGTGTCTTCTGTTTATTCCACTATCTTCCTGTCTTTTCTAGTGTACCATACTGTTCTTTTCATGAGTCTATTTCCTTGTTTTAAAATACAAGTGTGTCCTTCTCTTATAATTTACTGGGCTGTTTCCACAGTTCTTTAAAATAGAACACTATTGGAAGTAGGCATCTTACTATAATGACCAACTTCAAGTTTGAAAGCTGATGTTTTTTAGAAATCTGAAGGCACAGTATGATTTTGCTCCAAAGAAGTGATATAAGATTATGATCTGTTGGGATCACTTGAAAGGCATTGACTGAAGTCTGAAGGGAATCATTGAGGCTTAAGAGTTGGGGTCTACGAGTAGATCTTATGTGTATTAAATCTGTCTACGTGTAGAGGATAGAATAAAGAGGGGAAACACTAGAAAAATAGAGAGAAAGTAGGAAGAATTATTGCTTATAGGATAGAGGAGATATATCAGCATGGAGAAAACAGAATAGATTGCAAGAATAAGAAAATAGTGTGGAGGAGATGGTGTTTACTACTAACATTACTCATTACTAATATTACTAGCGTTACTATTATCTTAATGACTGTTATACTCATTCTTGTTAATATTACTCATTATTACATTTTTGGCTTAAAGAATGTTTCTTAATCTTTTTCAGTATAACTCCATTTTAATTGGAAAAAATTTTATAGATTATTCTCTTTCCACATTGTGTTTGTATTTTTAGTTGCAGTTGACATCATGAGTGCATATATATATGCTAAAGAAAATAAAAATGGCAATAGTTACTGCAGTTAAAGTTAAGAAATTCTTGCAAAAATTTTTCAAATTCAGTGGCTCCGTCACAGAATCTGTAGTCTACAAGATCTGTAGTTAACAAATTTAGAGCTATTAATGAAATAATTATTTATGAATTTGTTTTAAAGATGATTTTAACTCTAGATGTGCCACTGTGCCTCTTGGAAAAAACTATTCTAGAATATAATGTCCGCCTTCTTTTTTTGTGGTGCTGGGAATTGAACCAGGGCTTTGCAGTATATGAGGCAAATATTCTATTGCTAAGCTAGATCTGCAGTCTTAGAGTGTTATGAAAGAAACATTATTAAGCAGGAAAAAGCTATTAACATGTTTATTTAATATAGAGAAGAATTTGTTAAATATAACAAGTGAGAAATTTAAAATGGTCTAGATAACTAATATGAGGATTTTAGTGATCTTGGCTTTTTCTTTAGAAATTATTATGCAAATATATTTTATACAAATTTTATACAATATAAAACTATTATACAAATAATTTTATTACTATAGCACTAGAGAATTTTAATTTTAGATTTAGTCATACTCCATACTCTACAGTATGTATATTATAAAATGTTTCTTATTGAAGTATAAATTATTTTTGTTCTTACTGCAATTCATGACATTAGTCAGGAACTTAAAATATATATGTATTTTCCACTTCTTAATATTTCTGAGGAATGAATTGTGAAATTGTATTATCATATAATTTCATCTTTTGGAGTGGTCAGTGTTTACAAAACCATATTTATAATATAATAAAAACACTAAGATTTAATCATAGTTGACTTTGCTTTTAAAGGCTCTTTATTTGTGAAAATGTTATTTGATAGTCTTGAAATTCTCTAAAATATGAATTTTTATGTTTATTTTAAAAGAATAAATTTTGACACACTATAAAAATTAATACTAATTAATTTCTCTTGGTATTATTATAGATAATAACAATGAATAATACCATAATTAGGAGTATTATTGACTACATTCTTACATTGAATACATGCAATATTGTTGTTTTTTCTATGGAATTAAAATGAAATATGTTACTCTGAAGAAATATAAACATATCCATGTATGCCAAATTGACACAGTATAGACAAGAGTTCAAGGTGAAAAAGATGTAATTAAAGACTTAAGTAGCTAGAGAACTAGGTAATATATTTGATATTGATATAACATGTTTAATATTCTAAATATATTTGATATTGAAATAACATGTTTAGCATTCTAAATAAATTTTACTGTGGCTCATTCAGTCACTAGTGAGCTATTCTTTGAATAGTGGTATATTTCACTTGACTCAGGTCTGCGTTATATGTTGATTGCTATAGAAAGCTATTACTTTTCATTCACAATTTAACAAATCTGACTGCTAATGTAAGAATTGTGTGTTTTAGTTATGCTTTGTGTGTCTTTATTCATGTGATTCTCTGTTTATAATCAATGTTATATGGAATAAAACAAATTATCTTATATTGTTAGATGTTAATGCATCAATAACTGATAGAAATGAATTCTACAAGAAAAATACTTTTATCCAGTTAACAATTTTGAGGTAGTGTGTTTTCATATTTTGACTGTTATGTAATTTTAAAAAATTGTCTTTATACTTTGGAGAGTATATCAAACAGCATAAATCTCAAATTTTAGGAAACAGGTCTCCATGGAGCATATCTTTTTCCTGTAGAAAACCATGGATTGGTTGTCTGCTTAGTATTGCTCTTTAATGTTGAACTATATATGATCTTACAATTATAAAAGAGTTTTTATTGAGTAAAAGTAGCTTTTCTTGCTTATAATATAAATACAACATTTAAATGAACTCAAACAACAGAATCCTTTGAAGTGTAGTATGATACATTAATGAGTTTAAATAGTGTCTCCTTGTTGCTATTTTACATGGATGGTATCATGAGACAAGAAATGACAGATTAAGATCCACCTAGCAGAGGCAAAACTAAATTACATGACTTTTATAGAGGCATAAATAAACCCATTAACCATTATGTGGAATACCAATTAGTAGAAAGAGCACTGACAATTTTATTTATAAACATTAAACATAATTATTAATTACATACTGGCAGTAAGCAGGCCATAGTGGATATGCTGTGACCTGAAGCCCATCACATGTGAGGGGTAATTATCGAAATCCTGTGGAGGAAATAAGTAATTGTAGTTGTAAAAATTTAATTGCCTTGAAATAAGGCAAATTACATTTTCTTGTCTGAGAATATAAATAGTATGGCATTAAGGTAACAAGTTATACTAGTTGTATATTGAAAATGGACTTATGCAAAGTTTTAAGTAAGTGATACATTTGTAGTGTCATTGTGCTCCATGGTCATGATATACATGCGTGTTTTCTTTATTTATATTTAATTGATGAAGTATTTTCTGTTATTTTCATAGTGAAAATTGATGTGAGAGGGAACTTTATGAATTACCACAGGTGATTGAGAATTACATAATTAAAAACTATTCATATTCTGATCAGCAGTATTGTGAAATGAACAATTCATAATTTTGGTGTTTTTTTCTTTGAAGATCCAAACTCCAGAATTTGTGGCCATTTACTCATAACTGCAGCCAAGAATTCATTTGCAAAACTGATGGATAAAATTACTCTGGCAATGGAGAGTGTACCTCTGCATAGTAACAGGAGTATTACATATGTAGAAAAAGATTCCTTGGTTCAGAGGTTGGCCCGTGGACTTCATAAAGTAAACACACTGGCCCTGAAATACGGTTTTCGTGGCCATATTCCCATTATGGTATGTATATAGTTTCATTTGTAGTGACTTTAAGACTTATAGATTTAATTTTGAATGAGACTTACTTGTAGTTTAAGTTAATTGTATATGAATGTATTTAAATTTTCTTTAGATGTCACACAAACTTTTAATACAGTAAATAAGAACACTTCTGACAGTCCTTGCATTAGTTTTAAATATTTTATACTGTTTTTTATTAGTGTATTGTGACAGAATTGGCCTCACCTGTCAATTTTGTTTTCTAGCTGTATAGATGGGTTTTTTCTTTTTCTTTTTTTAAAATTTTATTTAAAAGGAAAAAGAAAAAACAAAACAAAACAAAGCGGTGTAAGTAATACAGAATTAAAAAAAAAACAGTAAGAAATCACCAGTTAATAGATTACACATTATCGTCTTAGAGATAGTTGCTCAAGTCACAGTACCAAAGCAAACAAAGTGAACATTCAAACAGAGAGACTGCAAACAGTTGTGTTCAATGATTCAAACAAAAACATTAATATGGTCAGCTATTTAACACCCCTAAACACACTTGCAGTTGTATCCTTTAACACACTTTTTTTCCCCTCTCTTTTTTACAACAAAATTTACACATTTTGGGTTTTATTACTCCTTAGTTCTTATTACTTTTTTTTTTGGAAGAGAATAAAGTCAAATATGGCAAAACAAAGCTGTCAGTCAAAACCAAGGATAGACATAGTACATGAGGTAAGAACAGAGTACAAGGTTATCAACAATGGTTACCATAATGTCTCTTGTTTCCTTAAAAAGAATTGTCTATCTCATTAGGTATTATAAAGTTGAACTAAACAGTAGAGAACAAGACCAATAAAACTTAAACATTGTAAACATTACAGGACTTCCAAAGGAGATAATAGTCAAACCAGAATGGGCATCTTAGTGAGTCTTACTGCCTTCAAAGTAGTTGCCTATACCCCCAAACTTGATACTATCATACAGAATGGAATAGAGTGTAATCAGTCAAAACAAGATAGTGGCAATATTACAGGACTTCAAAACAAGTTAATAGGAAATCAAAAAAAGTTACTATAATATATCCTGCTAATTTTTAAAATTTTCCCCCTTAATTAAAAAAACCATAAAAAATAACTAAATAATTATTTTAGTGAATAAGGGAGAGATTGAGATAAAAGAGGACATAACAACGTAACAATACAGGTCAAAGCATGACTGTTTTAGCAACCTAGTGCTTCACCACCAAATAACCCAATTTAATAGTGTTACCATAGTGTCTATCTTTTTCCTTGAAATATTTGAATATAACTTCATATACTATAGCTTCAAATATTTCCATATCAGGAAGCAAGAATTCTATTTTTTTGTCTTTTTCCTTTTTATCGGTACCGGGGATCGAACTCAAAAACTGCCTACTTTTAAGGCAGGCACTTAAGCCACTGAGCTAAACCTCCAGCCCATAGATGGGTTTTTTTCTTATCTCAGGTGTTTATTTCATGTAAGCCAAATATTTGATAAGGTAAGAAATAAAGGTATCACCTGTAAGTTTCAGTAATATCTGGTTTCATTTTTTGGATAATATCTAAGTTCATTTGATGTAGTAAGATGGCCATTGCTGCAACTTTATTAGTAAATCTGTATTATTGCTTGTAAATTGCCTTTATTTGACAACAGAAAAGTACAGCATCAATACAAAAGCAGATATTTGGATTTACACAAAGACTGCATGCAGCAGAAGTAGAGCGTCGCTCACTGCGCATAGAGGTTACAGAATTCAAAAGAAATATAAATGAAATGAAAAAGGAGCTTGACAAAGCCCGGGGTCTCCAAATACAATTAAATGACTGTAAGCACTCTGTAAGTATGTATGATTTAGAAGACTATGGTTTCATTACTATGATAGCTCTGGATTTCCTTGTCCCCTTTTATCTTTTTTTATTTTTATTTTTAAAATTCTAAGTCTTATTAATAAGATTTATTTTTCCCCCCATAAAACTGCCTTTCCAAAATGCTTCCAATGGAGGAGCCCTTTGTTGGGAGATAGAGGATTTCCTCTGCTTTCTCTATTGTTTTTAATAAATTAGATTATTTCTAATTTGAGATCAAATTGCTTTTTTAAATTAGTAAATATTTGTCATACATATTGCTCATATTAATTGTAGGAGTTTGTGCCTGTATGTAATTTATCTTAAATCTTCCTCTTTTCCCATTCTTTTTTGTTCCCTTTAATACTTTCCTTCCCATTTACAAATGCTGTGTTTCCTTTTTTCCCCTTCCATTCTCTTATTTTTTCCTTTTCCCTTGCTTTCCTCCTACTTCCCCATTCCCTTGTCCCGCTTCCCATTTGAACATGTTCTTCCTGCTTCTCAGTATTTAACCCCCATTATGGTCTTTGTTTACCATTTGAATTTTTCATAAAAGAGAAACCATGTGATATTTGAACTTGTGCACCTAATTTATTTCATTTAAGATTATGGTCTCAGGGTGCATCCATTTTCCTAAAATGACTGTAGTCAATCCTTCTTTATGGCAAAGTAGTACTGTATTATAAATAACGCATTTTCTTTATTCATCTGTTGGTGGGCAAGTGGGCTGTTTCTAAGATTTACCTATAATAAACTGTGCTGCTATAAACATAGTTATGCATGTATTACTATGGTATGATGTTTTTAACTTTTGGGAAGATATCCAAAAAGGGCATAGCTGGATCAAATGGAACCTTAATTTGTAGGTTTTTGAGGAACCTGATTTTCATAGTGGTGGTACTAATTTATACTCCTGGCAACCTTTTTACCTATAGCTTCACTAGCATTTGTTATTGATTAATTTCTTGATGTTAGCTATTCTTTCTGTTACGAAATGGAAGCTGGGTGTTTTAATTTGCATTTCTCTAATGACAATTGAGGTTGAACATTTTTTCACATTTGTTTTTTGCTGTTTGTACTTCTTTATCTGAGAAGCATGTGTTTATTTCAGCAGCAAGTAGTAAGTTATTGATCCTATGATAATTTAAATTGTTAGTATTAATTATTATAAGTAGATACACCATCAAGGGGAAATGGTTCTTATGAATTAGGCAGGGTCAAGTAATCATGAATTGCTCTTCAGTTTCAGTTTCATTAGGAAAATTTCTAGAGATACTACAGTTTTTCCCTCTTTAGTTTTGGTTCAAAGAAGGAAAACTTAAGAATTGTTTCAATACTTTATTATAAATGTAATACATGGAATTAGGCCATGCCCAGTGACCCCCACATGTGAACAGCTGCCTGCATTCTGACTCAGTGCTTGAGGTGATTTCCAGTGCACAGGGAAGATTTGGAACATTGCTCGGGGCCCGGAGATATAGGAAACGGACAAAGTGAAAGAGTAAAATGTAATCTCAAACCTCCAGTCCATCCCAAGAAAACCTAGGAGACACAGACATAGGAGAAAATATAAGCCATGTACCTAAAATACCTGAAATGATAGCAAGTGAAGTAAAGAAACAACTTTGGGAAGCTATAAAAGAACTCAGATCAGAAATAATCTCCCAAGTAAACGGAGAAATGATAAATGCAATGAAAGAAATGCTGAACATATCTAAAGAAGGCATAGTTAAAAAATTAGAAGAACAATGCAAAAAGATGGAAACCTTGAATGAAAAATATAAGAAACAAACAGAATACATGAAGCAGATTCAAAGAGATATATAGGAAATCAAAACTTCCAATGAAAGTTGGCAAAACTGCCTCAACAAAAGTGAAGATGGACTTTTAGACCTCGAAGACAAGATTGGAGCTAGTGAACAGGAAAGGAAAGATCTTTTAAAAATAACGAGGAATCAGGAAATAACAATTCAACAGCTGCAAGATGATGCAAAGAATAACAACATAAGATTGATAGGTATAAATGAAAAGGAAGGCAACAACACAAATGATATGAAGAGGGTATTTACAGAAGTAATAACTGAAAATTTCCCAAACATGAAACTAGAAACTGATACACAGAGCAGTGAAGCATATAGAACTCCAAATAGCCATAACCAAAATAAAACTACACCCAGACATATAATAATCAACATCCCAGAAATCCAACATAAAAACAGACCATTTAAAGCTGTTAGAAGAGACAGATCACCTAAAAGGAAAGCCTATCAAAATCACAGCAGACTTCTCAATACAAACAGTGAAGTCAAGAAGAGCATTGAGTAAAGTATTTCAGACCCTAAAGGAAAATGACTTCCAACCCTGAAAAACTGCCCTTCAAAATGGATGGAGAAATATGATACTTCCAGGACAAAGGACAGCTAAAGAACTTCATAACCACCAATCCAACCCTGCAAAGAATACTGAAAGACATTCTAGATAGACATAGGAAAAAACCACTAAGTAAGGCAAATGAACGGAGTGGAAAGAAAAAGAATCAGCAGCCAAAAGATAGCATGTCAAAAATAAACCAATATATATCAGTTATAACCATTAATATAAATGGCCTCCATTCACCAATTAAAAGAAACAGACTGGCAGAATGGACCAAGAAACAACATCCAACCATATGCTGTCTACAAGGAATTCATCTAACCCAAAAGGAAACTCAGTGATTGAAAGTCAAAGGATAGAAAACAATACTTCATGCAACAGGAACCAAAAAAAAGTGGGGGTAGCTATCCTGTTTGCAGACAATGTGAATTTCAGGAATGATCCAAGAGATAAACAAGGTCACTACATACTAGTTAGGGGGAAACTCCAAGAGGAAGATGTAGCAATCTTAAATATTTATGCACCGAATTTGGGAGCACACAGCTATACAAAACAAATATTAACAGAAATGAAAAATCAAGTAAGTAATAACACAGTTATAACAGGAAACTTTAACATGCCATTGACACAAAGGGACAGATCAACTAGACAGAAAATCAGCAAAGAAATAACAAAACTGAATCACACTTGTGAACAAATGGACTTGGTAGACGTACACAAGAGTTTTCCACCCAACAACATCAGAATATACATTCTTCTCAGCAGCACATGGAAAATTCTTTAAAATAGACCATATAATAGCCCACTGAACATACTTAAGTAAATGCAAAAAAATTGAAATTATCCCATGCATGTTATTGGTTCATAGTGCCATGAAACTAGAAATTAATGACAGAAGAAACTGCAAAAACTCCACAAACACATGGAAATTAAATAATACACTCCTGAGCAAACAATGGGTCACAGAGGAAATTAAAGACGAAATTAAACAATACCTTCAAGCAAATGAAAATACAAATACAACTTACTGGAACCTGTGGAATGCAATGAAAGCAGTCCTCAGAGGAAAACTTATTGCGGTGAAGTCCCACATCAGGAAAACAGAACAACACAGATAAACAACTTAATGCTACACTTTAGACATCTAGAAAAAGAACCAAAGCCAAAAGAAGGAAGGAAATTACAAAGATTAGAGTAGAAATCAATGCAATATGGACTAAAAAAACAGTAAAAGAATCAGTGAATCAAAGAGTTAGTTCTTTGAAAGAATAAAATTGATGTCCCTAGCCAACCTTATTTAAAAAAGGAAAGAAAAAACTCAAATTCATGCAATAATTCATGAAAAGAGTGAAATCACTGCAGACCCTGTGGAAATACAGAAGATGATCACTACTTATTTTGAAAAACCTCTACTCTCATAGGCTTGATAACACAGAAGAAATGGACAAATTCCTGGAAACATATGATGTACGAAAGCTGGATCAAGAAGATGCAAAACTGCTGAATAGCCCAATTTCAATTAATGAAATTGAAAGTGTCATTAAATCCTTACCAACAGAGAAAATTCCAGGTCTATATGGATTCACTGCAGAATTCTACAAGAAATTCAAGGAAGACTTAATGCTGACACTCCTTGAACTTTTCAATGAAACCAAGAGGTAAGCAATTCTCCCTAACTCATTTCTGGAAGCAAATATTAATCTGATACCAAAACCTGAGAAAGATCCAAACAAAAGAGAGAACTATAGGCGAATCTCTCTAATGAACATAGATGCAAAAATTCTCAATAAAATACTGGCAAACAGAATGTTGTGAATCATTAAGAAAATTAAACACCATGACCAAGTAGGATTCATCCCAGTAATGCAGGGATGGTTCAACATATGCAAATCAACAAGTATAATCCACCATATCAATAGAGCCAAAAATAAGAATCACATGATCATTTCTGTAGATGCAGAAAAAACTTCTGATAAGGTCCAACATTCATTTATGATAAGAACCTTACAGAAAATTGGAATAGATGGTCTTTACCTCAATATGATAAAAGCCATCTATGACAAGCCAACAGCCATCATCATATTAAATGGCCAAAAAACTGAAAGCGTTTACCCTAAAATCTGGAACAAGAGAAGGTGGTCCATTATTGCCACTCCTAGCATAGCAAGAGCAATTCTAAGCAACAAAGGCAAGGCAGGAGGCATCACAATCCCTGACGTGAAGTTATACTACAAAACTACTGTATAAAATCAACATGGTACTGGAATAAAAATAGACCAGAAGATCAGTGGAATAGATTAGAAGATACAACTACAACTACAAATATACTTAGCCACCTTATCTTTAATAAAGGGGTCAAACACATTCCCTGGTTGAAACGTAGTCTCTTTAATAAATGGTGCTGGAAAAATGGGCTTTCCATTTGCCGAAAACTGAAACTAGACCTATGCCTCTCACCATGTACTAAACTAAAATTTAAATGGATCAAAGGTCTAAATATGAAAACAGATCTTGGAATCAACCTAAATGCCCTGTATTAAAAAGATGTGGTATTTTTATACAGTGGAGTACTACTTGGCTATAAAGAATGATCACATTGAGATATTTATAAGTAAATGGATGCAACTTGAGACCATACTCATAGGTGAAATAAATCAAACTCACATGTGTAAATACCATACTGTCTCCCTAGTGTAAGAAATGATAAGAGTACATAAGATACAAAATACTCAATAAATACAGTGAAAAGATAAGAATCTGCTTAAAGGGAAAAAATTATATCTCAGGGAAAATGAGGAAAAAGCAAAAGGAAGGGAAAAGAAAAAATATCTAAAATTATATAAAAACATTTAGGATAGCTAAGATGATTGTGCTACAAATTCTATAAGTTCTTGGAACAAAAAGTTAACATTCATAGGATTGAAACAAATGTGCATATTATTGTCTGGTGATCTGAGGAACTCTTTAAGATCATTATGTAATATAACAACCCTAGTTTGCTCCTACCACCTTGTTTTGAATGCCTCTATTGTCATTGTTTTGGGCTCTTTGCTACTGTTACTTATTTGTCTTTTTTGTTTGGTGTTTTTCTATTAATTTGTTTTGTTTTCCATCTATACATGTAGAGGCTTATACATGTGTTTATGAGAATCAATTATAATATACGTGATGAAATGAACAGCTACTTTGAAGAAGAATATACATTATTGTATCCATTACAGATTTCCTACATTCATGCTGTGAAATCCAGGAATGCTATTATTCTTTGTTCAGAGTGGTTTTAGTCTGTTTTGTACTGTTAAATTTCAACATACATGAATGTATGGACAGCTAATTTGAATGAGAACGGGAGGTATTATGGCAGCCATCGTTAATTTTCCTATTGTCTGGTTTTGAAGACCTATAATGCCTTCATCATTCTGTTCTGATCAGTTTAATACTACTTTGTTTTTTATGAATTTATTGTGTGTGAAGATATGAGCAAGTATTTGGAAGAAAACAAAATACATTATGATAGCCATGGTAGATATCGTTATCTTACTTTGAAATCTGTCACTTACATTGTTTTCTTTTGATCTACTTTGTTCTGTTTTGTTCTTTAGTTTTACCCTCTTTAAAAAGTATTAAAAAAGTAATACATGATAATCATAAATAAAAATCAATAAATATGAAGAAAAATGTTTAAGCCATTCTAATCTTATCCACTCAGAATCAATCACTTTTGAAATATGAGTACATTTTTCCCCACATTTTTTATGTGCAGGTTTGTATGCATGACTTTATGGATAACTGTACTTTGAAATAGTTCTTTTCTCTGTTTCTTTTTAAAAAATTTATTTAAAGAAAAAAGTGAAGTAGAAAATAAAAGAGTAACAGAATTCCAAAAAAAATTAACACCAAGAAATTGCTAGTTGATACATTACATATTGTCATCTTACAAATGGTTGTTCTGGTTATAAAATCAAAGCATTAAAAGTGTTATAGACAGTCAAACATTGATAGTGCAAACCATTGTGTTCAACGACAATAGTCAAACCAGAAAGGGGATCATAGTGAATCTTATTGTCTTCAAAGTAGTTGCCTATACCCTTCTACTTGATACTGTCAAACAACACAGATTCCAATAAAACCATTTAAAACAAGATAGTGATCAGACAAAATAGACTCAAATAAAATCAGCCAAAGCAAGACAGTGAAAGAAATACAGGGCTTCAAATTAAGTTAATAGGAAATCAAAAATGGTTATCATAGTGTATCCTGCTATCTTTGGAGTAGCAGTCCATGCCATCAAATCTAGTACAAGTAGCTAGATAAACTGGAACAGAATATAACCAAACTAAACAGAGTGATGAAAACAATATGGGTTTCAAATCATGATACAAGATTAACAATGGCCATTGCCTTCCCTTTTTAGACAATTTTTCCCCTTTCACAGAGTGCATTGTACATTTTGTATCCCACTAACTCCTTTAGTTTTTAGATTAGGGAGGCAACCCGCTATTCACCTAAGTGATTCTGGAACTTTTTACCCCTGAGCATGATCTCAAGTTGTAAACATTTACCTGCAAGAGCCTCAAGGTTTTCCTTCCTTATAGCTGAGTAGTTCTCCTTTGTATAAAAGTATCATGTCTTTCCAACAAATCTACCCCTACTTTTTTCTAGTTCTCTGTCACATAGAGCATTGTTTTCCCATCTTTGACTTTCAGCCCATAAGCCCTCTTTCAGGTTAATTATATTTCTTATATAGAGCCGCTCGATGAACCCTATCTTCTGATCCACTCTGCCTGTTTCTTTTTATTAGTATTTTGAGGCCATCTATATTAGTAATTATGGCCAACCTTCTCTGCCTCATCTCTGCCATGCTATTTTTCTGCTGTTGGTTGTCTACTTTTCCCCTTCATTCCACTGTCTGCCCCGTTCAGTGAGCCCCCTCTGCCACTGTTCCTGAAACCATGGTTTGCTTTTTTTTTTTTGGTCTCTAAAATAAATGTCCTTCAGTAGTTTTTGTAGGGTTGATTTGCTCGTCATGAATTCCCCCAGTTCCTTTTTATCATGGAAGAATCTTGTTTCTCCATTAATTTGAGAGATAGTTTTACAGGGTACATCAGTCTGTGTTGGAGGTTATTTTCTTTTGGGACTTGGGAGACTTTGCTCCAAGCTCTTTTTGATTTGATGGTTTGTTCGAGAAGTCTGTCATGATTCTGATGGCTTTTCCTTTATAGGTGATCTGCTTCTTTTCTCTGACAGCTTTTAATATTCTGTTCTTGTGTTGAATTTCTGGGATCTTGATTATTATATGTCTGGGTGTAGATCTATTTTGGTTATAGCTGGCTGGAGTGCTGTATGCCTCATTTATCTGAGTATCATTTCCTTTTCCTATGCTTGGGAAGTTTTCTTTAATTACTTCTGTAAATAGCCTTTATATTTCATTTATGTTTACTCCTGCTTATTCACTTACATTTTTTATTCTCTTGTTATAGATCCTCTTGTCATCTTCTAGCCTTTGTATTGTTACTTGCTTGTTCCATTTTATTTTTAAGACATCTTTCCTTTCATGATCTCAAGTTGCAAACCTGTCTTCAAGGTTTAATAGTTTATCTTTAGTTTCTTTCAAGCAGTTTTTTCAGCTTTCAATGGAGTTTTTAATTTCCTGGTAATCTCTTTGAATGTTTCATGTATTCAGATTTTCTTATATTCTTCATTGAAGAGTTCCCTCCTTTCTCTGTGCTCCTCTGTTCTTTTACCTGTGTCTTCTTTAGAAGTACTTAGCATTTCTTTTATTATTTTTCTTATATCTTCCTTTACTTGTAATAGTATTTCTGTTTTAAGTTGTTTTAGTCTCACAAAGTTGTTTCTTTATGTCAGTTGCTGTTGCTTCAGAAACTGTAGGTGCGCGACTCTTGATCTCTTCTGTGTTTACCTCTCCTGGACCAGTACTGCTTGGGTTGGTGGCCAGAGACTGCCTTTTGTTTCTTCCTCTTGTCATATTCCTGGTTTTTTGCAGACTAGTGGGTAGTGGGCTGGCCGGTACTTCCTGTATTGGTTATAATTACTCTGAAGTGTGGTGGCTAGAGATTTGTGTTGTTTGCTGCTTTCCACAATCTACTGGTAAGTACTGAAGTATAAGCTTCCTAGAGTCTCTAAAAGATCAAATTAACTTGCTTTATAGTTATAATTATATTAATGTACATCAAGTTGTTTTCATGGTGGGAAAGTTATAAATCTTAAATAAATATTTATGCACTTAGAGTGATGAAGTGGCCTGCTTACATGGTTCCCTTTAGTTTTCCACATGTAACTCTTAGTTACCTACCTTTTGTGAAACATTTTTCTTCCTTACACTTCAAGATCAAGATGTCTCTTGTTTGTCATAGTTTTTACTTCTTTAAATGTTTTAAACTGGAGATAACACAAATGTGGCTTACCCTGGATCTCATATGTCTTAAGGATGGTCTCTGTTTCTATCCCTTGTTAGTTATTACAGAGTAGAGTGATTGGCCCTTCAGAATGATCATGATGTTGTAAGAATTGTGGTGTATATTGGTATTATTTCATTGACAGATTTTATACATAAATATTTTTCAATCAGTTTGTTTTTGTTTTTGAGATAGGATATCCCTAAGTAGTTTAGATTGGCCCTGGAGTCATGTCAGTCTTCCTGCCTCATCTGCTCTGGGAATAGATGTGCAACACCATATCTGACTCACTCAGTAAATATTGATTGCAAACCTTCTCTCATTTGTCTGTATGTTCAGTGAGAAAAGTAAATAAGGTCCCTACCACAAAACTACATTTACATGTGTAGTTTGTGTCAGAATGTGGATAGATAGTAACAAAAAATGAGATAATTTTAAGTAATGGTAGTGGCAATCAAGAAAATAAAATAGGATGGTATTATACTGTGAGTGGGAAAGGAGTTATGATTTGGTTAGGACTTGCCAAGGAGGGGACATCTGATGATGGAGAATAAAATAATAACTCATTGAACACATTTAGGTGATCATTTGAAAACCTAGGGATTTGTTAAAGATTTTAATTCTCCCATTAAAATCTTTGTAAAAACTGATCATATAGGAAGATTTAAACTAAGCATTATAGATTTATTTAGAATAATTGGAGTGTGGAGTAAGATTTTGATTGACTAAAATGGTAACTTCGGAGTATAATTATTGTGTTTTAACTAGTTTGATATTTTTGACTTATGAAATCAAGAAAAATGATGTATTTTTGTCTTGTATCAGACTCTTGCAAATGTTTGTATTATATATAATTAGAAATGTTTGCATATTATGTTGTTCTGAAGATCAATAATAGATCAAGATAGCTTGTAACTGTTTTTTTCCTTCTTTTTAAAGAAATTGATCACCCATGAGAAGTTTGAAAGTGCATGTGAAGAACTAAATAATGCATTACTTCGGGAACAGCAAGCACAAATGCTATTGAATGAACAGGCGCAGCAACTTCAGGAGTTAAATTATAGACTTGAATTGCACTCCACTGAGGAAGCTGACAAAAACCAAACTCTTGGAGAAGCTGTTAAGGTAGGAGAATATTCCTTGCATAATGTCTTATTTCCTCTCTGTGTAGATCTTAGGGAGAATTATAGGTATCTCCTGAATATGCAGTAGATCCAGAGGTGTGAAATTTTATTCTGTAAGAGCTTGGAATTTCAAGAATGTATTCACATTAAAGCATTTAAGTAGGCTTTACTGGCTGGTTGAAAACAAAGCAATTTCTCCAGTAATAATTTTCTTTTGTTTTTTTCCCTTCCATATTTGTGACTAGTTCTTTTCCTGTTCTCATTTTGTTTCTCTGCACTTAGAAGGTACTTGGAACTCTTGGAATCTGGCAAATTTTGCATGTAGTTCTCACTGATTCTTTTTTTCTTGTCTTTTTGGTTTCTTATTCTCTCTGATTCTTGTATAAGTGTATTATTTGGAGAGAAGGGAGATTTGTTGTTTTGTCATACATTCCTGGCAAAGGTGTTTAGAAAGGAAAGTATACTCTAATAGTTGTTATGCAGAGAAATTCACTAACAGATTTATGGCTGTAATACTTTTGAAATGTTAACTTTATAAAATGTAACTGTTCTTATTTTTTTTTTTTTAGTACTAGAGAGTTTTTCAATAAGGAGGTTATATACATGTGCCTGACTTTCTGCTACTATACCTACATGAGTATCATATTTTGTTTTTTAAAACCAGCCCTTGAGTTAGGTAGTACTATTACTTTTTACACTGCTTTTTGAGGAAATTGAGAAAGTTCAATTTGTTTATGGTCTTCTGTCCTGTAGTGTTAGAACTGGTGTTTAGATTTTAGTAAAATAAGAAAATAGTTAAATCTAAAAGAAGCAAATCTTTGGCTGGGCATGTCACTCAGTAGTAGAATGCTTACCCAGCATATGTACAACCGTGAAGTCAATCCCCAGCCCTGAGGGAGAAAAAAAAGAAAATACAAGTAAATCTAAAGAGGAAAAAATAGATGATCTAAAAGAGACAAATTACAGAATACTATTAAATTTGAGAGTTTATTTTTCCTGAGATATCCATAAATTGAACCATTGAAATTGCTGGAGTCCAGCCTCTCCCACCCTTGCAGCTGAGATCCTTGTGAGCTCTGTGGGAAGACCCAGAGACTAGGGGTAATGCCAGCCACACTGTAGGGGCCTCAGCCAGGATGCACAGGATGAATAGGGGTGACGAACAGGACAGAATTTTCAGAAGCAGCAGTAATAATACAAGTCAGCAGGTGATAAGTTAGTTGAGCCAGCACTATACTTGGGGATAAAGACACATAAAATAGAAGTGGGCTGGGCCACCCCCCCTTTTTTTCTTTTTTTTTTTTTTCTCTGTTCAGTTTTGTCCTACTTTTTTTTCTGAATTTGTTGTTTTTCAATGTGTGTGATTATATGTTTCATACTTCTTTTTTTTTTCATTTTTCACTGTTTCTTTCATTATTAGATCTTTAACTTTTCTTTTTGTTTTGTTCTACTCTTCCTCTTCCACTCTTTAGTTATCTCACTTGATTTTATGATACTTTCCTATGAGTAAACAGTGTCTTGTCTCCTTTTAGTTCAATTTAATAATCCTTCACTTTTTAAATCTTTTTCTCTCATGCCTTACAATTACCCAGAACTTAAACAGTCATCCTGTGCCTCCCAATCCTATCTTAAATATGTTTAATCTCATTTATCTCTTCAACCTACCCCATCCCTCTTAAACCCCCTGCACAACAGGGTAAACTAAGTCTTGAATCTATAGAATGATACTCTAATACCTTAATAGAGTGATACTCTATTAAGTGGAAAGTCATTGCTTACAAGTTCCTGGTATAAGTTAGATTATATTATATAGCTATAGAACTTGCTTCTGTGGCTAAAGATATTAGGCTGATTATTACCACAGGTTGTCACTGGCTGGGCTGTGCTTTAGTTGTTATTAGTAATTGTACTACTTCAACCAAGGTGTCATACCTGTTATAATCAGTTTTTCTCCCTTATATGACAACGCTGTAATTATGAGGATCTTAACCATCACCATGGGCCCTAAGTCAAATAGACAGCAACTTCTCATTCTTAATATATTACGAAAGTAGGTTCTTGGGGTTGACTTAAAGACCAAGAACCACGTATATCTAGATGACAACCTGAGGAACAGACATTTCCTAGGAAAGCCTCAACATTACGAATGAAGCTATCTAACATAAGAAATCTGCATGCATAAGCACAGAAAGAAAAATAAAATAAAAATAGAAAGTAGAAATAACAAGACAAGGATGCAAAATGTAACCCTGTACACCCAGCCTACCCAGCACTGACCCAGAACACAAAGACTTAGAGGAGATTGGGAGCCAACTACTGAAATTCTATGAAATGACAGCAGCAGAAGTTAAAAAAAAGATGGAAATAGCCATAGAAAAATAATTTCTAAGGTGCAAATAAAAAAATAAAAATGAATGACAAATGAAAGACATAAAGGCAGATACAGATTTAAAAAAATAGAGGAGCTCAGGAAAATGATGGAAATCATGAATGCCCAATACTGAAAAGGAATGGAATCAGTGAAACAGATCCAAACAGAAATCTGGAGATGAAAAACTCCATTGAAAGTCTGTGCAACATATCAAATGAAGGTTAGGACATAATATCAAATCTAAAAGACATGATTGCAACTAGCAGCCAGAAAAACAGTGAGATCTTATAAATAAAAGAGATCATGGAAAATCAGTCCAACAGTTACAAGATGAAGCAAAGAAGAACACATAAGATTGATTGGAGTCAGTGAGAAAGCTTGATGCAGCACAAAAGCCACTGAAAACCCCTTGACAGAAATAATGGCAGAAAACTTCCCAAACATGGATATAGGAGTTAACTATACAAATAAGTGAAGTATGTAGAACTCCAAATAGCCATGACTAAAATAAATCTTCACCAAGGTATATCATAATCAAGATTCCAGAAATCTGATGCAAGAATGAAATACTAAAATTAGTTAGAGAAAAAATAACAAACCACTTATAAAAGAAAACCCGTAAGAATCACAGCAAACACAAACCCTCAAATCAAAGAGAGCTTGGAATGAATTATTTCAAGCCCTAAAAGGAAACAGTCTTCAAACTAGATTGATGTATCCCACAAAACTCTTTCAAAATTAAAATGAAGAAAAATACTTCTAACAGAACAAATTTTTGACTACCAAACCAGTCCTATACAATGCTCTGAAGGATACACTGGAGATATTAAGACCACAAACACAAGAACATCAACAGAAAGAAGTCACCAGGCAGAGAAAGCAGTTAAACAGAGAAGAAAAGTAAACCAGCAACAGAAGAGTAACATGAAAAGCTTAGCCAGTACATAATAGTTATAATATTAATGTAAATAGTCTCAGCTCACCAATCAAAAGAGATAGATTGGCAGAATGGATCAATAAATAAGAGCCAACCATATATAGCATCCAAGAAACCCATTTAACCCAAAAAGAACTTAATAGACTAAAAGTCAAAGGATGGAAAAGAATTCTCCATACCACAGGAAACCAGAAAAAATCAGGGGTAGCTATTCTGTTTGCAGACAGTACAAACTTTAAGCCAAAAGTGATTAAAAGAGACAGAGTATATCCTTATTAAGGAAAAACTCCAAGAAGAAGATATAATGATTATAATTATGTATGCATCAACACTGGAACACCCAGCTACATAAAACAAATATTAACAAAAATGAAAAACCAAATAAGGACTAACACAGTTGTAATGGGAGACTTTGATTTCCCACTCTCACAAATTGGTAAATCAGTTACACAAAAACAACAACAACAACAAAGAAATATCACAATTAAAACAAACATGTGAACAAATGGACTTGGTAGATTTACAGAGTGTTCCCCCCAAAACATTAAAATACACATTCTTCTCAGTTCTACAAAGGATGTTCTCCAAAAGAGACCACAAAACATGTTTAAGTACATGTGGAGAAATTGAAATCCTTCCATACATACTATCTAACCATAGTGCAATGAAATTGAAAATCAAGGACAAAAGAAATCACAAAAATTACTTAAACACATGGAAATGAAACAACAAATGGGGTCACAGGAGAAATTAAAGATTATATTAGATAGTACATACAATTAAACAAAAATGCTGATGCCACATACCAAAACATATGGGATACAATGAAAGCATTCTGGTAAAGGAAATTTATAACAATGAACTCTCACATCAGGAAAAGAGAGCGAGCTCAAATGAACAAACTAATGTTGAACCTCAAACTTCTAGAAAAATTAGGACTAATGAAACCCAAGAGCAAGATATAAAAAGATGAGGATAAGAAAGCAGGAAGTTAAATTATGATTACTTACAAATGACATGATACTCTACATAGAAGACCCCAAAAACTTTACCAAAAGACATGTAGATTTAATAACCAAATTTAGTAGTGTACTGAATACAAAGTCAGCACTCAAAAATCAAAATTATTTCTGCAAACAAGCAACAAACTGACACAGAAACTGACCACACTCATTATAGAAACTGACCACACCCATTATGATAGGATCCAAAAAATGAAACAGGAATCAATCTAACAAAGGAAGTAGAAAATCTATACATTGAAAATTACAGTACTCTGAAACAGAAATCAATTGGAATATCAGAAAATGTAAAGATACCCCTTATTCATGGATAGGAAGAACCAACATAGTGAAAAATAGCCATACTCCCAAACCTGTTATACAGATTTAATGTAATCCTGGTCAGAATAGCATTAGCATACTTGAAAGAACTAGGGAAAACATTCCTAGAATTCATTTAGAAACAGACCTAGAATTGCAAAGGCAATCCTGGACAAAGGCAAGGTAGGAAGCCTCATAATCCCTAACTTGAAAGCTACAGTGATAAAATCAGCATGGTACTGGCAAAAGAAAACAAAACAAAAACATAAACCAGACCTGAGGACCAGTAGAACAAATTAGAAGATGCAGACATAACTACTAGCAAGCACACTAGCCACTTTTTCTTTGATAAAGGTGCCAAACATATTCAC